ATTTTTTCTTACCCAACAAAAAAAAAAAAAAGAATCTGCAATTTTTCTTCCATGATTCTGCAGCTTTTCTTCCATACTCTGCACGTTAGGTCATTTGCCCCAAATATTTGAACCATTCGGTCCTTTTGCTCATGAGCTACTCTTGCAATCAAGTCTGGTTAATCCACAGAGGGGGAAACACAAAAACTTATATATTCATTGTCCTTCAGATTTTTTGCCCTAAAAGCCAAGGCCATGACTGCGTGTGCAATATCCATTTGGTTCTCCCCCGTTTATTGTCTGAATGGACCAAATCCTTTTTGGTAGTTTTATCCCATTCTTTCAATCTCTTTCCAAGATATTTAGCTTTATTTTTTGTAGGTTACATTGCTATTTTAAGTCAATGTATGCTTTAAATATGGAAATTCTGTTTTGATGTCTGATTATGCTTTCCTTACATCATCATGGTGTACTCACACTGTAAAAGAAATGTCTTGGGAACTAATTTAAGAACTCATGAGGCAGTATTAATTTTGTTCTCAGTATTGGTCGTATCAATCCTGAGCTGTATGCTCTAGGAGCTCGGAGGTGGGATTTGGGAGCCCCTCAGGAGCCATCAGAATCAGATGTCTGGATGCAGAATTATGCTAACGTGCTATGTGTCAATTCTTGGCAGGTTTTTAAGCCTTTGAACTTTTAATTCCCAATTACAGAATAAGTATATTGTCTTCTCTTCAATTTTACCAATCACAGATTTGGCTAGGTAATTGCGAAACTTTGAGTACTCAATTATGCGCTTCAAAAGTTCCCATATTTCTGTTTCTGGACTATTGCATTATTTCGTAGTCTTATCGCTCCACAAACATATAAAGTTGCCATCAGTTCTTGTGGAGTTTCTTCATTAAATTTTTGTCATAAAACTTGTGCTAATTCTCAAGAAAAAGTATTTACTGTTGGATTTGACAGTCCAATGCTGCAAAATACTATAGAGCTGATTCTTGTACATAATCTAACACACTCATATCATCTCTCTTTTGTTAACAAAATACTTGCATGTAAAATTTACACTTGATGCAATTTTAATGCAAGTAAATCTTGTTTCGGATTGTTACATTCTTGTTTTTTATGCTTTCCAACAGCATTGTAGTTTGAGTATACCCTCTTTGCTTTAACATGACATTCTGGGTGCTTATTTGACAATTCTGAAAGTGAAATGAGTTGTCAGGAGAATGATCATATGTTCTCTGTGCACGCACGTGCATGCACATAAGTATATCTATGCTCTTCTGCTGTCTCATTTTACTCATTTTGAGGATGCACTTTTTCAGGTGAAGAGATATATAGATGTTTATTCAGCTTCATCAGCTGTTGGATTTTCCTCTGATGACTTGTCTCGAATAGCAAGCACTTATGCTCAAGCAGAGAGCCATTGGTTGCATTCAACTAAGAAGTTACTGTCAGGCAGCAAAAATGGCAGTGATACAATTTTGCCTACGCTTCAGAAGCAAATTGATGCATACTTTAATTTTCTAGCTACTGTCGCTGAGTTAGCTCGCCTCAAATGGACCGAGTTTGACTTGAAACTGATGATATCTGGCATTTTAATCATGCTTCTATCAATCATTTTTCAAATTCTCTCCATTTTAAGAGGGAACAAGCAGCTTGGTATATTTATGCCACTATCTGGAGCTTCTGGAATTTTCTCCATCTCAACTTTGGCATATGTTTTACTGGCAATCCGTGCATGCAGTTTCCTTTCAAACAGTTACATCTGTAAGTCTGAAGCACTTGTATATTTATATTGGTGCGCATTACACCTTAGCTTTCCTAGACATTCTTCTCATTTCTTTTTGGCTTGGAGTTTGTTGTCAGTGGAGGAAGGAAAAGTGGCAAATTTCCTTTTGGCCACATCTGGGATTGTGATGTTACGATACGCAGTCAGGAAGGAGAAGCTATTACCAGAAGTGTGTATCTCACCTTGGTTTCATTCTCCTGTTTGGCAAGTTTATTGTTATTTGAGAACTTTCTTACTTGACAAGGCATAAATTCTTATAAGAACTTCCATTGATTTTCTTAGTAAGAAGTCCCTGAACATCATTTTTATTTTCTGCAGAGTTTTGGATTCCTTCTCTTGTGCGCGTTTTGTCAATTTTCCATTGAAGTTGGGCTGACAAAACAGGCTGCCACATCTGCTTTCATGAAAGAACACACTTCATGGATCCTCAACATCACATCCGGTTTTCCAGTGTGGGAGTTTGTGGCTGAAGTTGCACCCATGCTAGCTCTGATCCTGTTGGCATTTCTACTGTACAAGGCCACCAATAACAGTTCCTTCAAGTGGGCATGGAAGTATACTATTCGGAGTACCATCTTGAGTTACATGCTAATACTGTTGCATTGGATTTCAGACGGTAATAGGATCGGTTTTGCACTGATGCCTGAAAGCATTGGAAGAAATTACGTTCCCAGGATCATCTATGCTATTTCTTTGGGGCAGCTGTTATTGCTGTCATTTGGTGCTCTATTTGAGGATAACTCTTTGGATTGCAAGAAAAATTTAATCACAAAAACAGTGGCCATTTTATCTGCGTGGAGTTCGACTGTCATTCTTCTTTCTGGAAAGCAGGGTCCCATGATTGCCTGTGCATCCACAATTGGAGGTTCTCTTTACTACTGTCTTGTGTTATTTTACTAGATCCTGCTGTCTAATGCTTAAAACATGTTACTGTCATGGTTCGTTCCTGCTATTGTTAACAAATCAGTGATGTATTTTCCTTCATCTTTATGAGCATGAAGCTACATCCATTTTTTCTTAAGATTTTTCCCCATGCTATCAAACTACCTTCCAGGTTATTGTATATTGAGGATGGATAATACAGGAGAGCGTACTACGGAAAGACCAAGCAGCAGTTCGGCTGTTGATCCCTTCCGTGTGATGCAATGGAGCCTTTTTGCTGTGTGCCTCTTTTTCTGCAGCGGTCACTGGTATGTTAGCTGTTTCTGTCTGAGGTTAGGATGTATTATTTCAGCTTTATCTCGTGAGCTCTCTCGTGGTTTCTGCATCTTCCTTCAGCGTGCGTTAAGCACATTCAACAGATTAATTATTAACCCTTTCTCCTGAAGTTGAACATGATAGACTTCTGCATTTTTATTTTCAGGTGTGCTTTTGATGGTCTTCGTTATGGTGCTGCATTTGTGGGGTACATTACATTAATGTTTGCCATTTTTAAAATAGTATTTATCCATATTTCAGATAGAAGTATAATCACTAGATCTCTTGCGATTCAAGGCCAACATTGCAAAACATTAAACTTCTCTATCTCTTGGGAACGATCAATAACTGATCATAATGGGGTCTTTTTTACATGTTTTACTGTTTGCTTGGCATTTTAATGATTTTAATACATTCATTTCAGGTTTGAAGAATTTGTTCTCATTCGTCAAGCAATCCTCCTAACAATTGATACCTTTGGTTTTTCGATCATCCTTCCAGTACTCGGTCTCCCATTTCTTGTAGCAACCATGAAACAGGCTAATCAAACAAAACATTTTATCTACACACAATTATCTCAAGTGAGTTCCCTTTACTAGTAAGTTGTTAGGATTCCCCCTACTTAACCATGGAATGTTCTGTTTTCTGACACTCTTAAATACAATGTCTTATTAAGGCGTATGTGATGTATGGGCTAAGTACAGCAATTACGACAACTTTTGCAATATTATGTGTCACGGTTCAGAGGCGACACTTGATGGTAAAAATGATTTCAGATGTTTTTTTTCCTTTTGGGGCAACACATTTCTGTTTTTCACTTTTTTGTTGTTAATCCAGTAAAGTCAATGTTTTATGTTCTTGCATGCAGGTATGGGGTTTATTTGCTCCCAAGTTTGTTTTCGATGTGATTGGTCTTCTCCTTACAGACATCTTTACATGTTGGGCTTCACTTTACTATTTTGATCAAGTCAAGGATGACCAATAGCTCTACTATCAGGATGCTGATTAGCTATATATTATGTTAGTGATTTGCATTTCATTTTTTTCAATTTTTTTTTGACCAATTCTTTTTCTCCCTATTTTTTGCACTGCTGTATATAGATTCATTCTACGATCACACAAATTTTGTAGTTAGATATTTCTTTATGACAGTATAAGCACATGAATCTGCAGCTTGCTCCTCGAACCAGCCAAATCTGTCTCTTGCTTAATTTTGTTGTGGTGATAAAAACATAAGGTGTGTTTGGATTGACGGTGACAAAACTGACTTTTGTAAACTTAAGTTAGAGTAAAAATCAGTTAGTGTGTGTATTAAAAAAAAAAAGCCAGTTAGTATAATGTGATTTATATTTGGATTGGTGTTATAAAAAGCCAGTTAAAAAACTTGAACTTATTTAGATGATTAATAAAAAAGTAAGTTTAAATGTAAAATGATTAAAAAGGATATGAATTTCATTAAATAGTAGTGTTTTATATTATATGATATTAATGGGATAGTTTATTAAGTTTCTTTAATATCTTCAAATTAGTCTATGAGAATCTTATATTAAAGGGCAAAAGTAGTTTATCATATTTATACAATTTGAAAAATTCAAGAAAAATAATAAATTGAAATAATTAAATTTTATTAGGTAATTTTTTCTTCTTAGAAGAAAAAAATATCAAATTGTTGAGTCAAGATAGAACCTATTTAAATACCCTTATCTTTCTTCTCATTCTTCTTTTCTCTCTTCTTGTTGCTAACGGTAAAAGCTCAAATTTTCAGTTTTACCTGTAACTGACTTTTTTTCTAAAAACCTATTTGATAAAAAACTGATCCAAACAAGTACTATTGTGAAAATAAGCCTATGATGCTGGTTGCACACCGATGCAGGCACTTTTGGAGGGGGAAATGGCATTACAAACACACTGCTAGTCTTTTTGAGTTAAAGGAGCAGGTATTAACGAGATGAGGTTAGAAGCGCGATGAAATTCACGACTTTCCAGTTTCCGCTTACAAAATCACTTGCATGACACTAAGTCACAAGAATGGGGAAAATATAATTTTTTTTTTTTTTTTAACATTCGATTTCATGATCCATCAGTACAAGGAATTGCAGAGGAAGAATTCTCATGAGGAATAAGCTTGGCCTTATCTACCTAGAAAGAAATTGTCATTATCCTTAGTTTAATTACATAATCTTCAATTAGTCATTCAATAACAAATTAAGAGAGGACAAGGGTATGATAGGAATTTCCAACTTCTTGTAGTAGCATGAAGGATTCATTGATGTATTTATAGCTCTCACACATTCTGTTAACTTTTACTTAATTGATCCTGCTTTGGTTCACTGCTTTCATCAACTTTAGGCCTTGTGTTCATAAGAACCTGCCAATCACACATTAGCAAAGTTAAATTGACTATTAACCATGGAAAATTTTCGTTATAATTAATTAAATTTTGACACACTTGTCATCATAATTTTTTGGGGAAAGAGTAAATTGTATAGATTTCCTAATATTTTACTGAAATTATACGCAATCCCTCCTATCATCTAGACTGACATATTCATAAATTTCTCTTCAAAGTGAAAAAGTAAATCAACTTGAGAAATTAGTTTAAAAACCGATCATCTAGCCTATAGTTTGGTTCCTCTTACCTTTAATTAAACTCTTGTTATTTAATTCTATACCATCCTTATTTTTTTGTGAACTTTTATCCTAGAAAGCCCTTTTCCTAACTAATTTCTTTTATATATTAATCAGGGAGACGGGCACAAAAATAATCCCAAATCTAAAAATCTTAATTTAAGACCCTAAATATCCTACTCACTGTGAAATCCTCAAAACTTGGTCTGAGATTAAATTTTATAGTGAACTGAAAACAGCAATAAGTAACCACTTTAACTTATTATATTAAGTAGCAACAAAGGCATTGGCAAGTAATTTCACAGAGGACAATTATGTCATTTCAGAAAAAGAAATAAATACTAGAATAGCACATAACAATGTTGTTTAAGGGTGTTTGGATACCATCTTGTTTTTTAAAATCATTTTTTTACAAATTAAAATAAACTCCTTTACAAATTTACTTTGTGTACTGTAAAATTATTTTTAAAATCATAGTTTGAATTCCACCCAAATAATTATAAATCATTTAAAGAGACGATTGGGATCTCGTTTAAATGTCTTTCTCCCTATTATCTATTTCTCATACGATATCAAGGAGAAAAGGCTAGGTGAAAATAAATAATACTACCTCCAGTTCTTAATATAACATCGCGTTTGATTTTTATTTTGGTCATAAATATAAGACCCAAATCTATTTTATCTTTCATTTTTATGCAATTTTTTTCAAGACAATTTTTCTAATAATTGTAATTTTAGCCAACACACTTGATTAGTAAGGATATTTTAGGAATGACAACATTCATTTATTACAAAAAACTAACTTAACTTGTTTTCTTCATATTCTCAAATTCGTCAACTAGCTCTTATAATTAGGACCGGAGATAGTAGTAGAATAAAAATAATAATATTGATGTAAGTTCAACAAAATTAAATATACCTTACGAAGCATGGTGTTCTCATTGATCACAGTAGAGATACGCTCTTCCAACTTGTAATTCTTGTCTTGCAACTCCTTAGCCTTCGCTTCCAACTCATTCACATACACCTTCTTCCTTTCTCTTGCCTGCTGTGCTGATACCCTATTCCTCAACAACCTGCTCGTTCATGTGTGTGTGTGTGTGTAAACAATGGTTAATCTCATGGTCACATGAAACTGAGAAAACATAAAGAAAAAGAAATCTAATTTAAAAAAGTGCCACTATTTAACTATTTATAAGTCACTTATAAAATAACTAAAGATTTTTTTTCTAATTTTATCCCTTTTTCACTTAATAAATGCAGAAAGAGATAACATAAAATATAGTAGAAAAAATATAGAACATATTTTTAATACCCTTCTTTTGTGGGCTTAGGATGCAAATGACTTATAAATACACATAAAATGATAAATACTAATTGGAGTTACTATAATCTTTACTCTTTCAAATTAGTCTTCATTTTGATTTTGGTCCCTCAATATCAAATTACAACTTTCGGTGAGGAGGTAAAATGGAGGTCTTCATTTAGTGCTTATCATTATGATAGGCATACTGTAATGTAATTTAAACCATCTAAAATCTAATATGAATAGTTCAGACTTAAAATTTTTAATATATAATTTTTTTCAATGATAAACTTATTTTTTAAAGATATGTTAGTTATGATATTATATTTATTTTAAATTATATATATATTAAAACAAAAAATTGATTAAAATATATAAAAAATTTAAATTAACCATCTAAAATCGATCTGGATGATTCAAATTGCGATGAACATGGAATGTGCTCCTAGTAAAATGGTCCAATTTATATTAAATTATAAGGATTAATGTTAGAAATAAATAGAAATAAAAAAAATTGAGGGATTAAAATGAAGACAAACTCATACGACTAAACTTTGCATTAACCTTACTAACTGCCTGATATCATAATTGAGATTGAAGCGACTACCACAATTTTCATGTGACCAGGAATATGAGATCTTCAGATAAATATACCTCTTGAGGCGTCTGCCCTCTTTATCTGCAGGGTTTCTTCCTCTTCTTCGTTTTCCACTCTGAGGCTGAGCTTCTGTCACTGTCACTGTCACATTGCTTAAGCTCGCATTCCCATTTGAAACAACAGCCCCTCCTCCTCCTCCACGCTCTCCGCTGCCACCGGCCGCCGTGGCTTCCATGTCCGGCACTCTGAACAGATCCTCATCGCTTTCTTCTGCAACACTATCCACTTCAATCTACACTACTCTCATATCATCACAATGAACTCTACTTTTGTTCCTAACAATATTCCATCTTCCTCGTATATACAGTATCTCTCATTATTATCCCATGAACAAACTTAGAATATGTTCTTACTAAGAGGAAGAAAACTAAGGATCAAACTTCAAAAGTGAAACTTTTGGGTGTGTTGCAGATTAATGAACTCACCGATTTTGCTGGTCTTGTGAAGAGGGAAAGGGGTGTGCGTATGGTCGTTGAGCCTGTGGTTCCATGAAGAAGATGAAGAAGAAGCAGACACTAAACCTTCCCTGCTGAGTTGAACAGACATAATGTCTCTTTCTCTTTTTGGAGAGCCTTTTTTTCCTTAGAAAATTACAAGTGAAGTGAAGGAAGTGTGAATGCTTGCTTGGAATCATCTCATCGCAGAACGAACCATTTAAGGCATGGGAATGGCACCTAAGAGTTTGGTTCACAATTGAACACGTTGTTGTCTACACAACCGCCACTTTTTAATCACATTGCACAGTATTTGGAAAATATATATAAAGAATTTTTAATATATATTAGTTCTAATTCTTAATATTAGAGTTAGTAAACTAATTTAAGAACATTAAGAAAACTAAATAAATTACTTAACTATAATGTATGTTATATAATCTTTCTGAAATACTTATATCAATTTATAAGTCAAACAAATCAGTTTGAAAAGAAAATAATCAATATAAATACTTTCTAATAATTTATTTAGTTTCATTAATATCTTAAAATTAGTCAAATGCGTATTATATTAAGAACCACAAATATTATATAATTATTTACCTTCTTATTTTTTGTATCCTTGTTTCATGTGTTTGAGTCAACTTATAAGTAATTTTGCATTTTTATGAAATACTTTTTTTTAAGAGAAAATGACAAAAAAAAAGAAGCTGAAAGTTATTAAATTCCAAATCAAATTTAGTAACAATACTTTATTTGGTATTAATAACATTAAAATTGCAATAATAAATTTTTGTCGACATTTCTTATTTGGTATTTAGTAATTTTTTTTTTTGGATGATTTTCCTGTTTTTTCAGACATATTTACTATATATAACTCAGCATTATTTTTCTCAGGCTAATCCAAATCCGCACTTCTTTAACGTAGCAATGTTACATGCTGATATATTTCCAACTTTTTAAAGAGCCGTTGGCTTTATTTTTTAATGCAACATTTTGGAATCTAGTAGACTAGTACTAATAGGTCAGATTTGAGTTTGTGGTGAAATAATTGCCATTTTAGTTTTTTTTTAAGCATTACTTGTTTTGTTATATTCATCAAATGAAAATTTTATATTTTAAGATGTTATGGTAATTAAGGGGGAGTTAATAAAATACATTACATTTTGTTGAAATTAATTATTTATTAGTTTTTTTAATTTTTGTGCACGAAAATTATTTTGAAGGGGAATTAAATCTCCTTCGTTAAAATGTAATAGTATAATATCTACAATATTATTTTCTAATTATTTCAATCTTTAAAGCCACTGGCTAAACCATGTCGAACATTCAAAAGTACATTATCAGAAAATGTGTGGACTTAGATGAGCCACAGTGTCATGTCTCCTTGTCTGTCACTTTTTTCTACTGAACTGTCCATTCCCGCCTATGTTCTTTTTTCTCATGCCACATCTTCTGCTTTGGTCACTGTACATTGATTAACACGGCACACCCAAAGCGCATTTATTTTTCTATAAATGGATTTGGCCATGAATGGTACAAAGTCAACAAAAACAAACACTAGCTCCTGTTATTAATATAAAATCCTGATTGATTTTTATTTTGATCTTAATATAAAACTCTAATTTATTTTGTTTTTTTTTATATATATATATATTTTTCAAAGTAACCCTTCTAATAATGATAATTCAATACATTTGATTAGTAAGAATGTTTTAGAAAAGATAATACTTATTTAGAACAAATAACTAATTCAACTTATTTCTTTAATCTCCTCAAATTAGTTAACTAACTCTTATAATTAGACCCAGAGGTAATAATTTATTTCTGGGATAGCTAGATGACATATGGCTCTAGAAGATCATGGCCAATAATAGGATCTCTGAATTTGTATAACACCCCCCCGACACTTTAGTTGAATAAACTTTTTTTCCCTCTGAAAACATAACCTCAACTCAATTTAAAAATACATATGTCATTTTTTTATTATGATTTTCAGTCTTTAATATAAAAGCTAGTTAAAGATTTAATTTGATAAATAATATCCAATCCATTTTATCCCTACTATTTATCTCTATGCAATGATTACACATGTTAAAAAGTTTTATTAAGAGATGATTCTAATACATATAACATAACAATAATATTTTATGAAAGATAATATCTATTTATTATAAATAATTTACTTAGCTAATTTTTTTCAATATCTACAAATTAATTATCTAATTTTTATATTAAAACTAGAGATAGTGTATTATCATAATTTAAAGCTTATACTTCTAGCCTTTATATATACTTCATCCCGTTCTTATCATCCGAGTTAGCCTGAGATGGCTTATAAGTAATGGTGAACTTGATCGATTATTTATTTATTTTCAATCATCATGTGCTTCTTTTTTTTTCTTTTTTTTTGGTTTTTGGTCAAGGTAGTATCAATATTATTACAATGAAATTGGGTCTAGTGAAAATGACTAGTTTCTTACAATGTGGCTAATTAAAGTTTAAATCTCAATTAAAAGCGTTTTTATATATAGTACTCAATAGTAACTTAAATAGAATTATCTTTAACAAGACGATACCCTTACGTGGCAAAAAGAAAAAAAGCAACCTTGTTATAGTACCATATATTTTAATGGTATAATAAACAATAAAGCATATTTATAGTTTAATCCTCTAACTTTTGAGACTAACCGTGTGAGAATTAGAAAATTAAAAAGATAAAACAAAACATTATATAAAGTTAAAAAATTAAATGTGTACTTTTACTCTCTTTTTTATAATACTCTTCCGATTTTAAATATAAAATTTATTAATAAGTCTTATATTTAGAATAAGAGGAAGTATAACTGCTGTTCTTTTAAATAGAAAAAGAGACAGGTCTTGCATTCTCCATCATCCTCCATCTCCCATGCTTGGGAGATGGAGTTTGATCAAAATGACATGATAATTTCACAAGTTACCATTAGCAGGTGCATCCTCTTAGACCCATCTTTAAGTGGGTGTTTGAATATAAGGGGGGAAAAAAAGACCCACTTGTTTTACTTAAAAACCATGATTTTGAAGGAGAGCACCCAAACACCTCATTATCCAAGAATTGATTAATTATGCCAAAACCATTGTTTTAAGACTATAAAATCATGATTTCCCATCAAACCAAGGTGATCAACTTTTGATACAAATAATATTATTTTTAGTTCTTAATACAAGAGTATTTAAGTAATGTGATAAAAAAAATTAGTTAAATTAGTTATTTACAACAAATACAAGTTTATTTTCTAAAGTATCCTTTTGAATCATGACTACTCTTAGATGGAAACCCCTTAATATGTGTAATTACTAGGGATGCTTGGAAAAATGAATTATAAATTTAAAAGATAAAGTAGATTAAGGTCTTATATTTATGATCAAATCAAACTCTTAAATAGCTCTCATATTTAAAAAAAATACTTTCATATAAGTTAAAACAAAATCTTTCTCACATATTTATTTTATATATTATAAAATCACTTCTAAAAAGTTAATCCAAACATCCCCTAACTAGAGGTGGTAACAGAACGAATTTTATTAACGTTAATCTCCTCGCTTGAGACAAAAATTAAAGCATTCCACACATGAAGCTTTTGATCCAACTTTTTCCACTATTCTGTTATAAAACTGAGACTTATAGTCGAAAAAACAGGCTGAGCCTATTCCATTTAGGTTTGAAAATTGTGAGGCTTGAATTTAAAATTTCCCCATTCAAATAAGAAACGGGCTTAAAAGAACTAGTCTTACAGAGCTGAAGGCTTAAACGGGCTGCTCTGCAGGGCCAAGGGCTAGCCCGCCCCTTTTATAATTTTTTTGTTTTGTAAATTTCTATATAATTATAATATTATTAATTTTTTTATATTGTTAATAATATTTCAAATATTTGGTTATTATTATCATTTTAAAATTAAAGTTCATAAAATGATTCGATTTATCTTGTTTTAAACAATAATTTGTTTACTTAATAGCTAGGATGCAAAATTTAAAAGTAAAATTTCTACAAAAAAGGAAAACCTGATATTTTTGCCACTAAAGAAGAGTATACTCGTAAAAAAAAGCAATTGATGACAGTGATGACAAAGTTTTAAAAAATTAATCACAATGCTTGTTTATTACACATTTGCACATTTGATGGAACTTTTAAATGTTGTTGTTTTGTTGATGAATGTTTTAGATGTTCTTAGATATTGAAATAGGTCTTATATTAAGGACCGGAGGAGTATTATGTAATCTTTATGAAATACTTATGTCAATTTATAAGTCACGCAAATTAATTGAAAAGAAAATAATAAATATAATAATTTATAATAATTTATTTAGTTTTATTAATATCTTCAAATTAGTCAAATATATCTTATATTAGGAACCACAAATATTATGTAATTATTTACCTTCTTATTTTTTGTATAGTTGTTTCCTGTGTTTGAGTCAGCTTACAAGGAATTTTGCATTTTTATGAAATAAATTTTTTTAGAGAAAATGACAAAAAAAGAAATTAAAAATTACTGAATTTTAATCAAGTTTGGTAACAACACTTTATTTGGTGTTGACAATATTAAATTTGTAAATAATAACAAATTTTTGTTGACATTTTTTATTTGATATTTAGTAATTTCTATTTTTTTGGTCATTTTTCCTTTTTTTTTTTACACATATTTACTATATATGGCTCAAAATTATTTTTCTCAGGCTATTCCAAATCGGCACTCGCACTTCTTTAATGTAGCAATGTTACGTGCTGATATATTTCCAACTTTTCAAAGAGCTGTTGGCTTTATTTTTTAATGCAACATTTTGAAATCTAGTAGACTCGTACTAATAGGTCAGATTTGTGCTGAAATATTGCCATTTTAGTTTTGTTTTAAAAGCATTAATTGTTTTGTTATATTCATCAAATGAAAATTGTATATTTTAAGATGTTATGGTAAATAAGGGGGATTTAATAAAATACATTACATTTTGTTGAAATTAATTATTTATTAGTTTTTTAATTTTTGTGCATGAAAATTAAAATGTAATAGTATTATATCTACAATATTATTTTTTAATTATTTCAATCTTTAAAGCCACTGGCTAAAGTATATTGAACATTCAAAAGTACATTATCAGAAAATGTGTGGACTTAGATGAGCCACAGTGTCATGTCTCTTTGTTTGTCACTTTTTTCTACTGAGCTGTCCAATCCAGCCTATGTTCTTTTTTCTCATGCCACATCTTCTGCTTTGGTCACTGTACATTTGATTAACACTGCACGCAGAAAAGCGCATTTGTTTTTCTACAAATGGATGTGGCCATGAATGGTACAAAGTCAACAAAAATAAATCCTCTTCTAATTTTTAATATAAGATGTATTTAATTAATTTGATTATATTAAAAAAGTTACGTATGTTAGTTAATTATAAAAAATATGACATATTTTTTTAAAATATTATAATCATCTTTCTTAATATCACATCACCCTCTTCTACTCGATTATGGTTTAGAGAGTATCCATAAGAATAATTTAGAAAAATATTGATAAATATGATAAATATATCTTATATTTGGAGCCAAAATCAATTCAATAATTAGGTCCTATATTAATAATCGAAGGAGTAATTTACTTCTAAGATATTAAGATAGCTAGATGACATATAGCTCTAGAAGATCATGGCCAATAATAGGATCTCTGAATTGTAAAACAACACCCTAACACTTTAGTGGAATAAACTTTTTTTTCCCCTGTAAAAACATGACCTCAACTCAATTTAAAAATAAATATGTCATTTTTTTTATTACGACTTTCAGTTTTAATATAAGAGTTAGTTGGAGATTTAATCTGATAGATAATATTCAATCCATTATATCTCCACTATTTATCTTCCTGCCGTAATTATACATGTTAAGAAGTTTTATTAAAAGATGATTCTAATGCATATGACATAACAGTGATATTTTATGAAAAACAATATTTATTTATTACAAATAATCCACTTAACTAATTTTTTTAATATATGTAAATTAGTTATCTAATTTTTATATTTACAACTAGAGATAATATATTATCATAATTTAAAGTTTATACTTCTGGCCTTTATATGTACTTCATCCCATTCTTATCATCCGAGTTAGCCTCAGACGGCTTATAAATATGTAATGTTGAATTTGATCGACTATTTTCAATCATCATGTGCCTTTTTTTTTTTTTTTTGGGGTCAAGGTGGCTGCATGATTCACTAATTCTGTACCATTTTGAACTTAATTAGATGATTTATTCAATCATACAATCAATATTGTTACAATGAGATTGAATCTAGCGGAAGTGATTAGTTTCTCACAATGTGGCTAATTAAAATTTAAATCTCAGCTAAAAAATATGTTTATATTTAGTATTCAATAATATCTCAAAAAAAATTATCTCTAGCAAGATGATACCTTTGCATTGCAAAAAGAAAAAAAATCAACCTTGTTGTAATACCATATATTTTAATAGTATAATAATCAATAAAAACATATTTATAGTTTAATCCTCTAACTTTTGAGAGTAACCAGGAAAGAATTAGAAGATTAAAAAGATCAAATAAAACATTGTATAAAGTCAAAAGATTAAAGATGTACTTTACTCTTTTTTGATAATACTCTTCCGATCCTAAATATAAGATCTATTTATAATATAATTTATATTACAAAACAAGTTTTATATTTAGAATAAGAGGGAGTATAACTTTTGTTCCTTTAAATGGGAAAGAGACTGGTCTTGCTTCCTCCATCATCCTCCCATCTCCCATGCTCAGGAGATGGAGTTTGATCAAAATGACATGATAATTTCACAAGTTACCATTAGCAGGTGCATCCTCTTAGACCCATCTTTAAGTGGGTGTTTTGGATGTAAGGGAAAAAAATGCACTTGTTTGACTCAAAAACCATGATTTTGAAGAAGAGCACCCAAACACCCACGAATTGATTAATTATGCCAAAGCCATAGTTTCAAGACTATGAAATCATGATTTCCCATGAAACTAAGGTGATAAACTTTTGATACAAATAATACCATTTTTGTTTATTAATACAAGAGCTATTTAATTAATTTGATCAAGAAAGTTAGTTAAATTAGTTATTTGTAACAAATATAAGTTGATTTTTCTAAAATACTTTTTTGGATCATCACTACCTTTAGATGGAAATCCCTTAATATGTATAATTAATAGGGCTGCCTTGAAAAATGAATTATAAATTTAGAAGACAAAGTGGATTGATGTCTTATATTTATGACCAAATCAAATTCTTAAATAGCTCTTATGTTAAAAGAAAAAATACTTTCACATAAGTTAAGACAAAACTCCTCTCATATTTACTTTCTATACTATAAAATCACTTCTAAAAAGTTAATCCAAACATCCCCTAACCGAAGGTAGTAATAGAGACGAATTTTATTAATGTTAATCTCCTCACCTGAGATGAAAATTAAAGCATTCCACACTCGAAGCTTTTGATCCAACCTTTTCTAATATTTTGATATAAACTGAGACCCATAGCTGAGAAAACAGGTTATACCTGTCGGGTTGGCCCATTTAGATTCAAAATTTGTGAGGGAGGGTTTGAAATTTTCCCATTCAAATAGGAAACAAGCTTAAAAGAACTAGCCTTGTAACAGGCTAGTCCTGCAGAGGCAAGGGCTAGCCCACTTAGGCCCTTTTATATTTTTTGTTTTTTTTTTCAATTTTTTTTATAATCATAATATTATTAATTTTTTAATTGTTAATAATATTTTTTTATTAGTTATTATTATAATTTTGAAATTAAAGTTCATAAAATGATTTGATTTATCTGGTTTTAAAAAATAATTTGTTTAATTAATAGCTAGGGTGCGAAATTTAAAAGTAAAATTTTTATGAAAAAGAAAAACTTGATATTTTTGTCACTAAAGAAGAGCATACTCATAATAAGAGTAATTGATAATAGTGATGACAAAATTTTAAAAATTAATAATATGTTTGTTTATTGCACATTTACACTTTTAATGAAACTTTTAAATATTGTTGTTTGTTGATAGATATTTTAGATGTTCTTGGAGGTTGATGAATGTTTAAAATATGATGAATGTTTAGTAATTTTATTGTTTTATTTTTATTTTTTATAAAACAGATGGAAAATATAAAAATTATATTTTCTTTAAATGGGCCAAAAGCTTGTGGGTATGCTCTGAGCCCATTAGTTTAAAGGTTGAGCTTAGAAAAATGAGATGTTTTAAAATTTCAACTTTACAAAACTGGCCCATTTAAGATTATGACCCTATAAAACCGGCTTGTATTTGCAGACTCCACCGAAGTGCCCAGGGGCACCAAGATACTTTCTAAATTTGTGGGCATTGGGCAAACTTCAAGCCCAAAAAATTAGCCAATTGGGATACTTAGGTTTGTTCACTCTTAGTCGATCCACAAATTTTTTTTTTTAATTCATGGCAAGTTATTTTAGTAGCAATGCCATCTTCGCACTTGGATGAATTTGAATATAGTGTATATTTTTAAATTTATTAAATTAAAAGAATGTTATTTTTATTCTAAAAAATAAATTGGTTTCCTAAGATCTTTTTGGATCTCGAATTAGAGTTTTAGAGGAGACACTTTTGTAAGGAAAGAAAGTCATGAACCCCGAACCGGATTAGCTGATGATAACATGAAAAAAAGAAGAAGCATACATAACATATTTTATATATATCTACTCAGTGATATTTTAGATTTAGACCGATCATATAAATAATACATAAATTATATTTAGATTTAGATATATTATAGAATATTTTTCTTTTTAATAAATATGTATAAATAAACGACAAAAAAGTAAATATATAAATTCAATTATAATGACTGATATGGGAAAAAAAATCAAAGATTGTATTAGTATAAGTTCAAAAGAATTGCCGACTAATAATTCATTCAGTAATGATTCATTGTGTGGATTTACTTTGTTTCATTAAAAAAAAAAAAAGGGTCGAGGTGGATGTAATCATCAGTAACAGAACTTAATTATTTATATAAACAATATGTATTGATTATTCAAACTAACGTAATTTGTAATTCTCGATTCCTAATCAGTGCGCTCATCAGTCTAACGACATTTAATCAATTTTGCTTCATCAATCTAAGTCATCATAATAAGAAAATTTGATTAGAATAAATTTTTCTCTTTTATATATATATATATATATATATATATATAAAACGTGATCTCTCTTTGATCTAAATGATTTTTCAATTGAAAAACAAATATTTATACAGAACCATTTGCATAAATGTGATTTTTTTTGGCAGGCACAAATATCCTCTTATTAAAAGCAATTATGTTTGATACACTGGGAGACACTAACATGGTTGCCTCTCCTAATGAGAATTCAAACTTTCGTTTATCACGATATGGGAGATTAGTCTTTTCTACTAAACTCAATTTATGTTGGTTAAGATGATTTTTTTTTTTAAACACAAGGAAGCAACAATTATAATTTAACCGGCCCAACAAGAAATCACACAATTTATGATAATATAATCCATGATTATTTAAGAAATTAGTAAGTCGGTATAGCACTTCACGATTCCTTTGGCAACTTTAAGATGCGTAACGTTTATTATATATTAATTTAATATTATTATTTATTAATATGCTTATTACTTTTATCTAAATTTATTAAAAAAAATTCTATCAATAAGATTAATTTTTATTGAATAAATTATACACAACTCCTAAACTTTATATATTATGTATAGGTAATATTCTTATCTTCAAAACTTTACAATAATCCTTAACTGCTTTGTTATTAGTTTTGTTCATTACTTATCTATACAGTTTAGAGTTTGAAAGAGTTATTATCAGGCGTTGATCTTATTAAAAAGAGCTTTGGCTGCTTAAGTACAAAAATAAAAGTTTAAGTACTCTTTCAGTCGTAAATATAATATCCTTATATATACTATAAAATATGTCTTACATTTAGGACTGGAGGAGTATCTATGAATGCAGAAAATATTTTTGAGAGAGCTATTTCTAGTTAGGTTTTGATAAAACTTGAATATGATTTAGTCAAATACAATATATCGAAAAAAAAGTTCAAATGAACTTTTTCTTTTTTCCAATTCAAGTGGGTTATATGTATGTCACTCAAAGTTGTGGGGTTTATAATTGATGATTGAGGATTATTTGCACAAATTTTTTTTAGGGCAGTTCATTATTAAGGTTTAAATGTTAAGAGAGTTACTTATGCTTGGCTCAAAGTTTGGGAGAATTTTATATAATTTAATTTTTTTTCTTATTTTATATTTTCATTTATCCAAGAGAATCATGAGACAATTGAGTGAATCTTTCTCAGTTCCTTGAAGTAGAAATAGAATGGCATTGATTATGGCTTCGTTGACAAGTTTATTTTTCTTTACATAGTGGATTGAACTTTGTATGAAGTTTAAAGCAAAGCCGAAAGGCAATAAAATAAAATAAAGAGATCTAACAATTATGACTAATTTGACTGACACTAAAACTTGTATTCTAAGCTTTGATTTCTGATATCACAGCTTTAATTCTTCTGGCTAATAATGCTGCCAAGAGTTTTGGATCTAGAACCAAACTCAATTTGATTATCTGAGAAACTAGAAATTAATATCCATAATTAACTTGTGGTAGTGATTTAATTTATACTCTTTTGGTCCTATTTATAAGACACTTTCAATATGTTTTACAAAAACATTAAACTGTATTAACTCTTTATTAAAATATATCAACTTTTCAACTTTATTTCTCTTTAATATATATATCTTTCGAAAAGAATAACTATCTGTACTATAATAAATAAAGGACAATATAGTACATTCATGATAAAAATTTAATGAATTGACTTATAAATAAAACTAAAAAAATCCTTCTCTCTCTGTCCTATAAAAATAGGACCAGAGGAATATTGAAAACTACTTGTGACGAGACTTCCTAAAGATCACACACACGCGCACAAGTTTACAGAGAGACCCTCTCTCTCAATTTTCCAAAACAGGAAAGTTTACATAGAAGTTAAAAATAAATATAACGGTTTAGATTTATTTCATCTATCATTTTTCATCCGACGGCCTACATTCATCACTCTAACAAAAAGCATTTGAGGGTCTATATTTAATCTGAAGCCTAGCGTACCTCCAATAAATACGCGAAGCATGCCTCCATCTTTTCACCAAAAACTGGAGGAAAAAAAGTTTAAGCAACGTTTTTCTATTTATTTTTATTATATCTTTCACTCATTATTAAATAATTGCTATTATTTTATTATAAATATAAAACTATTTTACATCTTTACAATTATTTCTTTTAATTTCATAAAGAATTGATTATAGCTCCTTATACATAGAAAAATGCATATAAAGGACTTCTACCTGAATCAATACTGTCATCTTAATTAATAATCTATATATATTAAAAACATAGAGAGTCACACTGTTATCAAACTATAAATAATGCGATTCATCTTAGACTCAGTATAAATATATGAACACCACTGATTATGGAGTATGGTGATAGTAAAGATAGTGATAGTAGTATGGCAACATAACTAACTATGATCATTGCTTAGTGCCAGTGACTCAACAAAACTTCTTTAATTATTACCTCTTCTTCTGGATTCATAGTTATTTCCTCTTTCTTCATCATTCTATAGTGTTTCTTTCTTCATTATTCTACTTTCAATGATGCTGTCACCTAACAAAACAGGATATATTTTCCAACTTGGCGTACTTTTCCCTTCCTTTAAGCTTTCCTTTGTCCCTTTCAATCATTCTTCACTCATTTTTCTTCTTTCAGTGCCACCTTAAAGTGATCAATGTTCATGGGTCTATTCATTCAAACATTTGTACAATTTTTCCTTTGACTCAGACTAGTTTGTTGTAAGCATATTTGGTTCTGAGGAAGACATTGAAAAGCAGCTGGCTCCAAAATAGGAATCTGAGTTTCATGGAGTTTTGGGATTCATGGGTTGGCTTCTTTCTGTTGTTTAGCTTCTGGGTTGGCGTTTTCTGTGATCAAGATGGTAAGGTTTTGTACTTTTCTCAACGATATCATTCATCCCTGCATTTTCTTATTCAGAATTCTTCAGCATTTAACTTCTTTCACATGCCAATTCCAAATTCTTTGAACTAAAGCATTTGGTGAGCTGAAAGATCCCAGACCACTTCAGTAAAATAGATACGTTTTCATCTAAAAATTAGGACCAATAGAGCACATCAGAATGAGTGATTAGATATGAATTTATATAATGTCAAGCAAGTCATACACGTCAGAGCAAGCTTTTTTTTTTTTTTTGGTTCTTTTTATAGAAAATGAGCTGAAACTTTATTCCTCGTATATATGAAAAGACATGAGCAGATCTTTCTCATTCATGGGACAGGTTTCTTAAGTCTATCTTGTGGTGGAAGAACCAGTTTCAATGACTCATCAAACATCTTATGGACCCCAGACACTGCATACATAAGCACAGGCACTACAGCCATCAGTTACACTGATAATAATTCCTCATCAAATGTCTCTCTTCGGTTCTTCCCGGATTCCCAAGGTCGGAAATGCTATAAATTACCATTGAGCAATGCCACAAGTCTTGTTCTTGTTAGAGCTAAGTTTGTGTACAACAACTATGATGGACTTAAACATCCTCCTACATTCTCTGTCTCTCTTGGGACAGCCATCGCTGCTATTGTAAATCTTACTAAAGATGATCCATGGACTGAAGAGTTTCTATGGACTGTCAATAAGGACACGCTGCCCTTCTGTTTACTTGCTACCTCAAATAGTGGATTTCCTGTAATTTCTTCCCTCGAAATCCGACCACTTCCTCGAGGAGCCTACACAAATGGCATGGAAGATTTCTCAAATAAGTTGCTGAGGAAGAGTTATCGAATTGATTGTGGATACGCTAATGAGTCTATCCGGTAAGAACCATCATGTCCTTTTCCGATATAAATATTGTCAGAGAAATTGAAAGTACATATCCTCAACTTTATACCATTTACAAACATCCTCTTTAATATCTCTTCAGGACTTGAAACTTTTTCTGTCCAGTTTCCTCTAACTCCACTAATGAAGATTCTACTTCAAATTCTGTCATTTGCTATTTCTAATCGAATGATAGTCCGTCGTGTGACAAATGACAGAGTTTGAGATGACATTTTCATTGATATGATTAATAGAATGGATAAAGGGAATCAAATCTTGAACTCTTGATGGGTGAAAGTTGAAGGAGTTATTTCCTGCTTTTCAAAATCGATGGAAATGCTTGCAAAATGGCTCAAAACTAAAGGGGAGTATTTGTAACTTTCTCAAATTTTTTGGTACTATAATCTCAAGGTCTAGCATTGTAAAACACAGGTACCCTTTGGATCCATATGATAGAATATGGGAAGCTGATAGAAGTTTTACACCCTTTCATATTGCAACTGGATTCAAGGTTCAGCTTACTTTCAATCAGTCCAGTCTGATGGAAAAACCACCGGCTGCTGTTCTTCAAACCAGTAGAGTTCTGGCACGGCGAAATCTGCTGACATATAACCTCCCTCTTGAAGCAGTAGGGGACTATTATATCATTCTTTATTTTGCCGGCATACTTCCTGTTTTTCCCACCTTTGATGTGTTCATAAATGGAGATATCATAAAATCAAACTACACAATAAATAGTACAGAAATCAGTGCTCTATATGTGACTCGAAAGGGAATCAGCAGTTTGAATATAACATTAAAGAGCATCAGCTTTTACCCTCAAATCAATGCATTTGAGGTATATCAGATGGTTGATATTCCACCTGAAGTTTCTTCAACCACAGGTGCCTTACCGTATTTTCTGAGAATACACATTATTACAAATTCGCTACAGTTGATTTAATACACTGATGATCTGTTCTTTTTCCAGTCTCAGCACTACAAGTTATTCAGCAGTCAGCTGGGTTGGATCTAGGATGGCAAGATGATCCATGCTCTCCTTCACCATGGGATCATATTGGGTGTGAAGGAAGCCTTGTCACATCACTGTGTGTGTCTCATTTTATTTCCTCTCCAAACCAATGGTTCTTCCAGGTATTTAATAAATGATCTAATAGTAGTAATTATTTTTTTTCCAGGGATCTCTCTGGTGTAAATTTCAGATCAATTACTCCTACATTTGGTGACTTGTTGGACCTCAAAAAATTGTAAATTTCCTCAGCTAGAAAAACTTCATTTATGTCGTTTATACGTGTGCTCATATTCTTTTTTTCTTTCCCTTCTTATTTTAATCTGTTTTGGCGTTAATTATTTATCAGAGATTTGCACAACACATCGCTTGCTGGTGAAATACAGAACTTGGGTAGCCTGCAACAACTTGAGAAACTGTAATACCTCCCAAGAGTAAGAACTTGACCTTTGGTTTTATGCAGAAGATATTTAACAACTGCTCAAAAATTTCAGGAACCTGAGTTTCAATAAGCTAAAATCCTTTGGAGTGGAGCTGGATAACTTGATTAGCCTTCAAATATTGTAAGTTCAAAACTTCTTAATGTTTACAAGACTTCAGACCTAAGAAGTTTGAACTCTTCACTAATCATACTGATATGATTATAAGCTTAAATTGCCAAGTGGACTTCTTGGTTACGAAGGTTCCAATGCCATGTCCAAATGCCATTTCATCTTATGAGTTTAAGAAACTACGTAAAAGTCGATTAATAGTTCTATGAATACTATACTTCTGATTATAATTCTCTTCTCTCAAAATATTCTATCTCAAAAACGATATTGCAAATGCAAAGTGAAACATTAATCTTACATTCTTTTTCTTTTTCACTGTATTTTTAGAGACTTGCATAACAATAGCCTCCAAGGATTGGTTCCTGATAGCCTGGGAGAGTTAGAAAACCTCCACTTTCTGTAAGTTTAGCATCAGGGAAAAAAAAAATCTAATAAAATCATATGACAATTTTTGCCTTTCCATTTGTTTTACTTTGTCTCTTTGCTTTGTATAATACATTGCTTTACATTCTTCAGGAATGTAGAAAACAACAAGCTACAAGGTCCACTACCAGAGTCCTTGAACAAACCAACCATAGAGATCAGGTATGGAGGAACGGGAACAGATGAAGTATTAGATCTGCTTCCTTAAAACTTTGCACGTTGATACCTTGTTTCTTTCCTTTTGCAGAACATCTGGGAATTTGTGTCTTTCGTTCTCTGCAGCCATATGTGATGGTGAATCATTCACTCCTTCAATTGAGACGCCACAAGTTACAATAATTCCCAGAAGGAAGCACAAATCACATAAACATCTAGCAATTATACTAGGCTTGGTTGGTGGAACCACACTTGTGCTTTTCTTGATCTTACTTTCAGGACTGCTACACATGACCAAAAGAAGATATGAAGTTTCTCACACAGCAAGTATGCAATTTCTTTTATTTCTTTTTTTTTTTACTGCCTGCGTATTTCGTTAGCTTTTCTTGTGTTATACAGATGTTCTTTCTACCTTCCAGGAGCAGAAATTGATATGAGGAACTGGGGTGCAGCAAAAGTGTTTTCATACAAAGAAATTAAAGTAGCTACTGGAAACTTTAAAGAAGTTATAGGAAGAGGCAGTTTTGGATCAGTTTACTATGGAAAGCTTCCAGATGGTAAATCAGTCGCTGTCAAAGTTCGGCTGGACAAAACCCAACTAGGAGCTGATTCTTTCATCAATGAGGTTCACTAATTAAGACTTCCATACAACAATCTTTTCGATGGCATTATAATTGAGCTAACTTGCAGATTAGACAAAAGGACATCTCTAACAAAGTAGTGCACTAGACTCTCGTTCTAGGACCCCTTAGGTTAGCCGATAACACGGTCTGCAGAACTGTTCTTAAGTGAGCTTGCACGTGAACTCATATTGCCTCTATCATAATGATTCTTGGATTGTTTTCCCCTTTGGTGCGAGCTCAAAGGAAGTTTTCAATGAGTATAATTTATCAAATAAAGGTTTCACTGAATTACATGAAAAGCATTGGCTTCATTTTTGTTACTAAAGGAAGAATCAAATACCTCTTAAGCATTATCTTGAATCATTTATGTTGTCTCTCTGCCATATCTATTACTGAGAACCTTGATTCTATCATATTTCTTTCCCTTTTGGTGAGTTAATTCTTTCTCTCAACTTTCTGTTGTGCTTAGGTTCATCTTCTGTCAAAAATCCGCCATCAAAATCTTGTGTCATTGGAAGGATTCTGTCATGAATCAAGGCATCAGATACTAGTGTATGAGTACTTGGCTGGTGGATCACTAGCTGATCATCTATACGGTACTCTACTTGCTTGAACAAAAAATTTTGCCCTATCTTTTCTACTATTTCTGCTTCATATATTCCCATATGCTGTCAGGTTCAAGGGTTCTAACACTTATTTTCTTTTCTACCAGGTACAAACAGCCAAAAAAGGTCATTAAGCTGGGTTCGAAGATTGAAAATTGCAGTGGATGCAGCAAAAGGTACAAACTAGATTCCCATTTGGTATAAAACATTGAAAATGAGAATAAGAACTGGGATTGGGATTGAAAAAATATGTTAAAAGAATATTTAGTATGAATGATTACTTATTACTCGGGATTAGACAAATCCATATATGTGAAATTGGAGAATATCATGGGCGGATGTGGTATTCCCCAATCCCCTTTACATTGGATTGTTTAATTCCATATGACAAGAAATTACTCATACTAAATATTATTTAATGGTTTTTCTCAATCCTAATCCCAATTCTTATCTTTTATTGTCAATGCTTCATATTAAACATAACCTAGATTCTTAAATAAGAACTGGTCTAGGTCAAGAGATGAATGTTTGTTAGTACCACAGGTAACCCTTCTCAAATTCTCCCATCCAATGTCTTTGCAAGCATCCGACATCTCTAAACGAAACTTGTAATATGAAAATAGTGACACAAAAATCAGACGGACATGACTGGTACCTCAACGAACTGTGACATAAATTTTGAAAAACATGACGACTACAAATACATATTTGTAATCTCAAAAGCTACCTCAACGATCCATCTTTAAGCCAACGAAGTCATGTCTGGCGAGCATGAGCCAATAAAGCAAAAGGAAACATTCCTGTTGTTCCAACAACTACGGACAAGTTAATATGTTGTTACAACGTTAGATTCTGTCGCTCCAATGGGTGTGTTTGTATCTTCATTGATGGAGGAAAGTCATGTTTATACTTATATGCCTAAGGCTCTTTCTTTCTCTCCTTTTTCCATTCCTGAAGGATTGGATTATTTACATAATGGAAGTGAACCACGAATCATACACCGTGATGTCAAGTGCAGTAATATCCTCTTGGATGTGGAGATGAATGGAAAAGTCTGTGACTTTGGCCTCTCTAAGCAAGTGACCAAGGCAGATGCAACTCATGTCACCACTGTTGTCAAGGGCACTGCTGGCTATCTAGACCCTGAGTATGTTCCTAGCATCAAGAAAATAATGATTACCTGAAAAATCTATGCTATTTTAAACTTGTTTCTACGTACAGGTATTATTCCACCCAACAGCTCACTGAGAAAAGTGATGTATATAGCTTTGGAGTAGTCCTTTTGGAACTCATCTGTGGGAGAGAGCCATTGAATCACTCTGGATCTCCTGATTCTTTCAATTTGGTGTTATGGGTAACTCAAATCTTCTTTTTGGCTTTTCTGCAATGCAATAGCTTGACATGGTTTCTAAGACCACCTCCATTCAAAAGTTGAAGATGTTAAGTAATGACAAATTATTACTCTTATTATAATCTTCAGCATGCCCCTTCACATGAAAGGCCTTCAGGCTTAAATCAGGGACAAAGACATAGGCTTAATTATGCAGGATAATTTTAGTTGAGAGAATAGAAGCAAGAAACATCAGACTTCTAACCACTCAGTCATTGAGACTGGTAGAACCATAAAGAAAGCTTGATTTCACTTAAAAAAACAAACAAAAATGCAAGGGAAAGCCCATATGAAACCTTATCTCTTAACTATCCTTTATGGAGTAATCACGAATAAGCATCATTTTTTTTTTACTGTTTATCACCCAGTAAAGTGAAAATGTGACTATTTAGTTCAAAATTCACATGAATAAGCACTCTTTGAGCATTTGTTCTTGAGTGTACAAATAGTTACTATATTGCCCCTATTTATAATTCTTCCTTGTTTCTATTAGTGTATACTTTGAGGAGTTTACATCTTCCTTTTCCTAACAACCAACTGCAGGCAAAACCTTACTTGCAGGCAGAAGCATATGAAATTGTGGATGACAGCATAAAAGGAAATTTTGATCTCGAGAGCATGAGGAAGACCGCCTACATTGCTGTGAAGTCAGTGGAAAGGGATGCATCACTCAGACCAACTATTGCAGAAGTACTAGCAGAACTGAAGGAAGCCTATGATATTCAGCTCAGATACCTTGAGTCTCTCTAAACGATAGTGAAGTTAAAAATACTCCAGATCAAACTAAATTATGTTGTTATATTAACACTCACGGTTGAGTGCAAGGAAAAGTTGGATTCTCAAAGCAAAGAAAACATGAGAAATATCAATGTAATATAAATATATTAAGTTATGATGAAATATTTTGCCATTTTCCACTTGATTATCTCCAGAAAAATGGTACAACACCCAAGTTCCATAATATCTTCGTGATTTTCCCAAGGTAATGACCCTCCGAAAGCAGGAATATGTTCAAGAATGATTACAATTAAAATTTACATGTCAATTGATCGCATATACATGATAATATTTAAGCTGACCTACAAAGTAATTCAATGACTAAGCAGAGGAACGCCTTCGAAGATAGAAGAATAATGCAGTTAATCCAGCCAAAGCATATGGAAAAATGGTCCAAATTCCCTGTATAAAAGTACATGTTAAGTATGCACATTCTAAGAAGTATATGGATATGGATTTTATTTCTCACAAGTCAATTATACCATACCATCACAGTTGCAACAGTTGCAAGAGCAAACATAGGGCGTTCTCTCAAAAGAAAACCTACTCCGAGCTGACCATACAAGAAAAGGGAAAACTCATGTTAGTTATGACATTGCAAGGGATCTATTAAAGTGAAATAATTAAAGCCATCATGAATCATCTCGGACAAACCCAAGGAATAAAAATTGAAGTAGATTATCTGTTTGGCTACTCTCTAGTTATTGCTTTGTCTAAAACCTGTGCAAAGCCGTAAATAAGGATAAGCTATATGATGAGAAAAAATATCATAGTTTGCTTATTTAAATTGAGCATCTAGATTGGGAGAAACTCCCAGGATTTTGTTTCCAGGCCTTGAATTTTCATTGAGAAGACCCTCATTGATGCAAGCAACAAGTCAGAGCCTTAAAAAAGATACGAATAACATTTAATCAGAAGAAAGAAGAAGAGGAAGAAGAAGCCAAAAAAAAAAAAAACGAGAGATTTGACTGAGCAATAACATCCAAGTCCCAAGAATTAGATTGTTAATAGGTATTGTAACAGACCTAAGTCTATCAACAAATTATTCAGCGAAAAATAATAACCGCTGTGATTAATCCTGCATGTTTCCCAGTGAAAATATATTCACCTGAAGGGGAAGTGTGAATAGACCACCACAACAGACTCCTGCAAAAAATAACTCAGGAGATATGCCCTGCATTTAACCAAAAGCCTTTTATTATGGACTGGGAGATTAATTTTTCCTAATCCTTTAAAGGATTAATAATTCTAAACGGAAATGGATTTTTTTTTTCAAAATAAAAAGATGAACAAAAACCAAAACAAGGAAAAGGACCAGTGGTTATTCCCCAGAATTAATCTGTATCACCTATCAATCAAGACAGATACAGACAAAAGCAGAAACAACATTTACAGAGTACAGAAAAGCTCTAACCAGGGCAAGCATAATTACCAAAAAGCATAGATTAAATGTGAAATTGACTGAAGCTTAAGAAATTAGGAGAACTAACTCCTCAATAAAGCATAGATTAACATGTGAAATTGACTGAAGCTTAAGAAATTAGAAGAACTAACTCCTCAACAAGAACAAGAAAACTATCAAGGAGCTCAGTCGTGAAAAGAACTCTGTGTGTGTGTGTGTGTCTGTGGTCCAGACAAAAGATGAATATAAAATATAACATATATCCATCATCCACCAAACCTTTTCTTCCCTCTCATGAACAGTTAAACACTGCACATCCAACCACGAAAATCTTCCACTTCCTTTTAGTCATTTATTTTCTAACCCAGGCAATACGTAAGTAACAACAGTTATGTTCACTTGTTAGATTCCGAAGAAGAGAGAATAAGAATTGGGAGACTGAAGAGAGGGGAAAGAACAGATGAGAAGGTAGAAGAGAGATGTGTGTTTGAGTGAGTGAGTGAGAGAGAGAGAGAGAGAGAGAGAGCCTAGAATCAGTATCTGAAATCCTAGGAGAGAAGAGGGAAATTCCTGAATAACATACTTCATTCACACAACTAATGTCATCATACAATAGATTTAAATAGGCTGAAAACATAACTGTGAATAACCAACTAATAACTTCCCAATAACCTCCTACATTCTATGATAAGGATTATCAATAACTGACAATAAGTAATATTTAAATAACCCCACTGTAACAGTCTCAAAGGATAACTGAATATAACCACCTAAAACTGAAGATTAAAAATAACTGCAAATAGCGAATTTGTAAACTACCCTTAACATTGGACTCTATCATCATTACTTGACTTCTGCCAAATTCGACAAAATAGCATTCTTCAAGGCATAATTCAACAAATACTGGAAAGAGATAAAATTTTATCATCATAGCTCGTGAGTTTCTTAGTAGTTTTTTTTTTTTTTTTAAACTATGGACAATTAAATTGTAAACACACTACACACACCTATGCAGACTAGAGCCCGCACCCTCCCTCAAGGAGAAAAGATTAAAACGCCACTGTGGCTACATGCCACTGAGTTTCTCAGTTTAAGAAGTTAATGAATATCCCTATCATCTCTACAAGAGGACAGAGGCTAGCTATCCCAATGCATAGATCTGAACATTATGTTTCCACATGGTAATGATAAGACAATGACCTCAACTTTCAAAACCTATAACCAAAATAAATGAATCTAATCATCATCAGGACTTAAGGAAAATTTGCTGCAAGTATTTAATATAGATCCATTTTTTAAAAGAATTTATCTGTGGGAATATCGGGGTCTGATGCGGGCCTTCACTCAAGGAGAATTTCTAGGCGATTGATCCTAATGGTAAAGGGGAAAAGGAGGGCATAATTATGAAGATGTTCTCAATTATCCATAATTTGGAGGGCTATAGATCAAAACCCTACCTTACCATGGAAAAAAATTACTCATTTGTCCTCACTTTATACATCAAAATCAGACTGACCACAGTAAAACTCGATTGCAAGTACATTAAACAAAGTTACTAACCATGGCACCTGCTAGGAAAGCCGTGGGGTTCCTTACCCCAAGGGAAAATCGTTCAACTGCAAAAATACAAGTCACATGAACACCATAAATCAATCAAAGAACTAAATCAACTTTAAAATAGAAAATATTATAGACATAAAAGAAAAGGATTCCACTTTGCCCAACTGTGGTTTTTGTGGATGCAAACTACCATTTGGCATCTTCTCTACGGGTTTCTCAGGACACCTAACAATCACATGTAGCCTTCCGGACAGATCAAGCAGAATAAATAACTAAGTGAAGATCAGGTGAGTAGTAAGTGAAAACAGGGACTCAACTCAAACCACACAAAGGATGAGTTTACTTCGCCCTTTAGATATTCTTTGAGGAAAAATGCTCCTTGGTTTAGTAATTCATAAAAGCATAATCTTTCAATACATGGCCACTCATCATATATTTGTCTGCAATGCAATGATTACGTTTGTGAGGATATGGTAATAAAGAACTAAAAATATTGGTGAGAACCTTACAGGAATGACATTGACATAGTCAATAATTAGGACGAGCAGATGATACGGGAATCTGCAACTGCCTATATAAAGTGTGAACTATGCAATAATATAACAAGTACTTCAGGGTCCAACACTATACTAGGGATCTAGTCACAGAGAGAATGGATGAGAAGGGAGGAAGCCTGGGGGGGGGGGGTGTTGATGATGATGCAATTGAAGCCACAGATGATTCCTAGAAATTAAAGAGGGTTCTTATACGGTTACAAACATGAGATTTGTAATACTCCTCCGGTCTTTAATATAAGACCTATTTAACTAATTTGATTAGATTAAGGAAGTTAGGTAAGTTAGTTAATTATGAGAAATATGACATATTTTTCCTAAAACACCATAATCATCTTCTTCAATACCCTTTCTCCCTTTTCTACTTGATTATGGTTGAGGGAGTATTTATAGGGGTAACTTAAGAAAAATTGATAAATATGAGAAAAATAGGTTTTATATTTAGGACCAAAATCAACTCAACAACTAGGTCCTATATTAAAGACCGGAGGAGTATCTTGCATCATAATTTTGTGTATTACTATAATAATTAACTATTTGATTTTTATCAAATAAGTAATATTTGTTACGTCATTAATTTGGGAATATTTTGGCGTCAACAAATATTTAATAACTATATGCACATAAAGGTTTTAAACCAAAATACACTCATTGGAGATAGCAAAGGTCTTCAGCTTACCAAAACCTATTAGATTGCCATACTTCTGCACCGCCTTTGTGATCTCCAGGGCCTTCTCCTTGCCAATTCCTAACTACAAATATCACCAGAAATTAAAAATTTACAAAAGTAACAAAATCATCAGATAAGATTGAAAATTACCAAGAAAATGCATGAACCCCCCCCCCCCAAAAAAAAAAACAAGGTGGGTTAGAAGGACCTAGGCCTGGACTAACACAGTAACATGAACTTTTTTTTTTTGGCCAAATGTATGATCTCAATCTAGCCCATTGGAGCACAGAATAAAGTAGGCAGAACTAACCCTTGTAGAAACATCATCAGATACCCCAGACCGTCTGAAAAGCTTCCCCAAGTAAAAGGGCACCATATCGCTAATGCAAACACCCCTGAAATCCAGAGTTGCCAAGTAAAATTCAAGTTCCATGATCAACAAGTTTTGGAAACAAGAGAACTGTAGCTAGATGTGATGCCATGGTTTGACTGGAATTTTCAGAAGTACCAGCTCTTTGACAAAAATAACATAATCAAAGGAAAGAAATGCAGATTAAGATGGAGTAGCCAACTACCAGTAAACCCAGAAAACTGTTGATATCACATACGAACTATTCCTTGAGAAAGATTCCGCAAAAGACCTCCATGTTCCATCCAGAGACAGAAACCGAGATAGTGATATGCCAACCTAAATTAATTGCTTAAAGATAATTAAAGGATTCAAACAAATAGAGAAACTAAGAAGTATATCATTACAGAAAAATTAACAATGAAAAGTACCAGTAAAACAGAAATACCAGTGAAAAAGACAGACCCAAACATTTAGAGCCTCTTCACTAATGAAAAGTCCACATCCTGCAGCCATAAGCAACCAGAAGTAGATCCATCTACAGGAAGTTCAGATGAAGGGTAGCATCGATTAGATAGCAATGGAACGATGCTATTTCAATTCAGAAGAGTGGCCAGTCTTCTTTACAATGCTCTGCTCCTTAACTAGGAGAATTAAAAATAGTACCCATGCAATGGAGGAAAAGGACTATAAACTAGCCAGCTCTTACATGTACTTTTAACTAGAAAATATTGCTTGATTCCAAGTCTAAGATGTTGAATAAAACTAATTCATAGCAAATCTATCATCACAAGGCATACCCTGGTGCATATTCTGGAAGTATAATTTTGTATCCAAAAGCTTGGAAACTGAAACCAGCAGTGGCTGGAGCAACCATTGAAGAGGATGAGCTTTCAGAAAGAGACTGCACGACGAAAGATGATCCAAGGATAGGCTGCTGGTAAATGGATATTAGCGTTGCCGTTACAGCTATGCCCATTGCAACTGCTATCAAAGCAAGGAATGGGATTCCAAAATTATGACCCTCTTTTCCGTCTAAATGCACCTCATTCTTGATGCTACCTTGACTTTCTAGCATATCTTTAGATCTTGAAGCCTCATAACTTTCCTTATCATCGTATTTAAAGCTTCTAGTTTTGATTCTGTAGTTGAAAAACATCGCTTCATTATGCTGAATACAAATGCAATTAAGAAACAGAGAAAGAGCAGCAGAATAACTAAAGAACTTCCCAAAGTGGGCTATATTTATAACATATATAAATAAATTATTGCGTAACAAAGATAGCTAAAAAAGGTAACTAACTTCTTAACCTTTAGCCTTATATTTCTAACAAATTAAATATCACAATCCTCAACAAAATATCTGTGACCTTCTACGTAAAATCTGCACATTATCTCAGACATCATAAGAAAAGGTCAAAGTTTCCACATAAGAGTTCACTATTTGATTATAGGTATAGAAGAACAGATGTAATATCCGATCCAGCATATAATTATAATGATAATAATTACTTTCAGCCTATTTCAACCACAGTACATTTGGATAAAATTCTTGAGAAGCAATCTTAAGTTGACTCTCTGTGGACGTAATAATCTTGTTCCCACAAAACCTATATTCCCAAATTTCCATAAATAATAGAAATTTAAGACATATTCATAATAACCTATATGTTAAGTGATTGGCTCAATAGCACAACTGAAACTTTGAGACTCAAATCAATCACGCAATATGGCTAGTTTACAGCTTTCCCTGATAAGAGTAAAAGAAAATTTTTAGAAAAATAATAATAAATTAAATACAGAAGAAAACAAGCATGCCGTTTAATCAACCTTATTGATAAATAGCCCACAGAAGACAGAAGAAGAGAACAACTTTTCTGGAAGCAAGTCTTGGCAATTATGAATTCATTTGTTTTTGACAAGTTAATCTCAGGTATCATGTGCCTCACATTCCCTTAAAAGGGATGGAAATAGAACAAGAAAGGTAAAGGTGTAAACTTCTGTACAAAGAATACGTAAAACACTCAATCCATTCAAAATCAACAAACAAATTCAATTTTGGCAATAACCATTTTAAGTGCCACTGGAATAAGTTATGAATAGGTCAAGAAAGTTTTCAAATAGAGGAAAAGCAACATAATGGACGATGCACATCAAAAGAATAAGCAAGAACCTGGAAAGGCGCGAGACAAGCACAGGTTCATTCTTGTTGGCAAACAGTCTGCGGCATACGGGGAAACAGCTCAATTGCTTCATATAACATATTTTAGGATGTGTTATGCACAGATTGAACGTTAAGCCCTGTGCCAAAACCGCCATTGGAGATGTTCTTGGAGCTGGAGCAACTCCAGTCACCACCAGCAACAAGTCTGGTGTTGATGGGTTGGAATGTGCTCATTTGGCACAGAGACGAGCGGAAGTTTCTGGTCCATGTGGAGGTACGTGGACTGCGAATCAAAAGATAACAGGGATATTCTCGATAGGGATTCTCTGGGAATTGTCTTGTTTGTTTGTGACTAGAATTTACCAGGAACAAAATTGGATTTTGTGTAAGAATGAAAAGAACAAGTTACTATGATCATTGTCTGCGAACCCTAGTTAGTGATTAGAAGGCTCATGCAAATGAAATGGGTGTCGAGAAAGCTAATGTGCTTTGTTGTGTTTGGTATTTACATAAAAATAACAGTTTTTTCTTTTATTATTATGCTTTTTAGGTTTAAAAAGAAAAGTAAAAATTTATTTTTGGAAGTTCTGATTTTTAGTTTTTGACTTGTCTTTAAATTTGAAAATTATAACCATGACCTGAGAACATGTAATCTCAACAATTTCTATCAAACTTACTTTTTTATAATAATAGATACAAACATAAATTATATTACATTAATTAATTTTTATATAATTTTAATAAGCAAAATATAATTAGGATAAATATCACAATTATAAACAGAGATATTTATATGAAAATTAAATCATAGTTTTAAAAATAATTTTATAATATAGTACATGAGAAAAATTTTATTTTAACTTGTGTGGTTAGAGACGTTCAAATACTCCTAAAATTGTTGACTTGAGAAACGCCCAATTATTTAGTAATAATAAATTACCCAAAAGTGCGACAGACCCACACACAAACACGTGTGTGTATAATCTTTTGACTGTTTTTTAAATACTTTTGAACAAAATTTATACATTATTCTCTTAAAACTGTGACCGTCCCTGGGGGGACAAGGCGGGGGGTGGGAGTTATGGCCTTCCATCCTTTGTTTTTCAAATATTATAATATAATAATAGAAAAAAGACAGAAAAATACTATTTTAATTTTATAATCCCCAAATGGTATGTTAAATTTGAGAAATCTCAATTTGGGATTATCATATTAAAGAAAAAGACCAAGTTGCCCTTCATTTTAAATGTTGTTTTTAAAATATCACAGCCCCTACTGGCCGGCCGATCACCGGAGCTCTGACGGCAGCAGTTACCAGAGCTTCGGCGACCGGCCGACAATTGATCACCGGAGTTCTGTCGGTCAAAAAAAATTTTTTTGAAAATTTTTACAATTTCAGTATAACAGTTAACAACTTTTGTAATGCTATTAACAATTTCAGTATAGCAATTAACAACAGGTTTTTTGGGAAATTCAACAAATTCCGGCGACCGGAAACAATTTTTTTGAAAATTTTTACAACTTCAATATAGCCATTAACAACTTTTGTCACGCTATTAACAACTTCAATATAGCAATTAACAACAGGCTTTCTGGAAAATTCAACAAGCTCCGGTGACCGGAAACAATTTGTTTGAAAATTTTTACAATTTTAATATAAGGGTTAACAACTTTTGTAACTCTATTAATAACTTCAGTATAACGGTTAAAAACAGGTTTTTGAGTTTATTAATGGCATTATTGAAGTTATAAAAATGCCACTTTTTGAATTTTTCGAAAAAACTGTTGTTAACTGCTATATTAAAGTTGTTAACCGTTATATTGAAATTGTAAAAATTTTCAAAAAAATTATTTCCGGTCACCGGAGCTTATTAAATTTTCCAGAAAACCTGTTGTTAATTACTATACTGAAATTGTTAATAACATTATAAAAGTTGTTAACCATTATACTGAAGTTGTAAAAATTTTCAACTTCAGTATAACGTTAACAATTACGTTTTTCTTTGAAAATTTTTACAACTTTAGTATAACAGTTAACAACTTCTATATAGTAATTAACAACAGCTTTTTCGGAAAATTCAAAAAGTGGCATTTAATAACTTTAATAATGCCGTTAAGAAATTCAAAAACCTGTTGTTAACCGCTATACTGAAGTTGTTAATAGAGTTACAAAAGTTGTTAACCGTTATACTGAAGTTGTAAAAAATTTTAAACAAATTGTTTCCAGTCACCAGAGCTCGTTAAATTTTCCAAAAAACCTGTTAATTGCTATACTGAAGTTATTAATAGCGTTACAAAAGTTAACGGTTATATTGAAGTTGTAAAAAATTTTAAAAAAATTATTTCCGATCGCCGGAATTTGTTGAATTTCTCAGAAAACCTATTATTAATTACTATACTGAAGTTGTTAATAGCATTACAAAAATTGTTAACCGTTATACTGAAATTGTAAAAATTTTCAAAAAAAAAATTCCAACTGACAGAACTCCGGTGACTAATTATCCGCCGGTCACCGGAGCTCTGGTAACTGGTCGGCCAGTGGAGGCTGTGATATTTTAAAAACAATATTTAAAATGAAGGGCAATTTGGTCTTTTTCTTTTACATGATAATCCCAATTTGAGACCAAATTGGGATTTCTCAAATTTAGCATACCATTTGGGAATTATGAAGTTTAAGTAGCATTTTTCTGTCTTTTAATCTTTTTCCCTATAATAATCTGAACCATTCATACAAGACGGCATTTTGAACCCCACCACAATATCACTAGCAGATTTGTACGATTATTATTACATCAAATAACTAACAGTGCAAAACACAACAACTATGAACAATGCCCTAAAGCTGTCTCAGATATTCAAACTAAACAAAATTTCACCAAGAAATGCGTTATCTAGTTTGAGTCACCATCACTGGTCTCAAAGTCATCTCATCTCAGCTTCCTTTGTGGTGGAAGTGGTTGTGGATGCTGTTGGGTTCTTCTGTTTGGTCTGGGACTCCTCTGCTTGTTGCATACTTGAGATCTTTCCTGCTTCAGCCTCCTCAAGCAAAACTTCTTGATGCATTGTCTTCATCATATCCGTCATGGTTTTCTCTTCCTCTTCTAGCTGCATCTTCATTATCATCTCAGCTTCCTTGTCAATTGGTTTGAAGTATTCTTGAATGGTTGCCTCCTGCATAAAAATTAGTGTTTTGTCACACCTTTAACAATGGAAATCCCAAAATTTTTAAATGCATGCAAATAATTCCCATGCCATTAGTCTATCCCATTGTCACTAAAAGAATAAAATATTTTTTTGGCAAGAAATGTATCAGCACGTGACCTAAAATTTAAAGGGTTATAACTCAGTTTGAAGAAGTTTTCTATCCACACCAAAAAAACAAATGTTTGAGGGGTACAGTAATATATTATGCTCCATTTGTAAAATAACAAAATAATTGAGGTTTATTTATCCCAAAAAGAAAAAAATTGGAAGAATTTCTGGATAAGTTTTCAAGGTCAAGGAGGCTATTTTCACATGGTTCAAATTCTAAAGTTCAACAAAGTTTGGTATTATAATTTGATCTAAAATAATACTGCAAAACCTTGGACATTTATTTGAATCTGAAGTTCCCAAATTTTAAAATTCTAGTAAAGATGCAACTTACTGTTTCTTCAAGCTTCTTGTTTAAAGCTTGCATCTCTTCTACCATACGACGAACCTCGGATAAAATAATCTGCTCAGGTATTTTTCTAACTGCTTCCTTCCTTTCTTGTGCCTTTTCCAGGGAAAATTTCACACGCATCAAAAGGACGTAAAGGAAGATATTACACAGTAAAAAGACAAATTATTAGGCTAGTGGCATTTAAGCGCAAAATCCCCATTTGCCTTCCCACTTGGAACAGAAATACGTTAAGCTTAATTTACACCCTCGTGGCAAGCTTGATGACAAGACAGAAGACAAATTATGATGACACACAAATGTAATATCATCATTTAGCCCAGTATAAGAGCCAAAGTTTCTTCAACAAGAACACGCCTTATGTGGCGCATGTTGAAGTAGTGCTTTTTAGTACCCCAGATTGGTACATCTATAACACTTGACATAATTAATCACCTTTGGTATTCTACAGAAACTATGTTACGCTAACTTTCACTTACTAGATATATCATTTCTTCATTTTGAGTTGAAAAATGCCCAGGTTTCGATCCCCAGCTGTTTTCTGAGAACAGCAGAAAACTTTCTCCCATTTTCTCAATAGATACTGAGAGGTGTCCCTTGGTTTTTACATTTTAGAATATGGTGCTCATTACTTGGGCCTTGCTTAGAGCATCAACTCAAACCGAAAACCCAAGTTCCAGCTCAAGGGTGTTTGGATAAGCTTGTTAGAAGTAATTTTATAATGTGCGAGGTAAGTACATGAGATGAGTTTTATCTTGACTTGTGTGAAAGCATTTTTTTTAAGCGCTTTTAGGGGTTACCAACCACACCCGTGGGTTCTGAAAGAGAAAAGCTACTGACCCAAAATATATCTTTTAAGATATGGAAGGATGCCAGACCTGCTGGAGACGTTTTTCAAGCTGCGGCCTACAAGATCTTATTCTCCATTGTTCATAACCAGAAAGGACTCGCACATAAAATAAGGCTCTCCTCCCAAAGTCTACCAACTTGTTCATGGTGATAAGTCACCAACTGCTAATTTTTCTTTCTTCTCTTTTTTTCTTTCCCTTGGAATCTCCTGGGAAAATAAGTCCACTTCAGAATTGTCATAAGCAAAGCTTCATTGAATGTTAATTCAGCTGAAAGCTCTAAAAGAATATATTTACAATGTTTCATTTGGCAGCCATATAGAATCAAACCTAGCCAAAATAGTCGCCAAATAAAGGAAACAAGTTACCCAAAAATAAAAACCAAAGGACTTTGGCATTTTAATTTCACATCCTCAAAACAAATAAAAGAAATGACCATTAACCTCAACTTTTAAGAAATCAAAAGAACTTAGTCTTCCCAAGCGTCTTGGTTCAAGTGGCACTTAGTCTTTCCAAGAGTCTTGGTTCAAGTGGCACTTCCTTGGAAATTATAGGTGCTTATTTCCAGGCAAGGCTTCATAAATGAGGTTTGATTCCCACTCCCCCTCCCCCAATAGGCTCCCAGCTGGCACCAAAAGCTTGTTTCCTCCATTCAATTAATACCAAGGAGCCTACTAGCCTACTATTAATCAAGAATAACAATTCTAATTGATTAAAAGTAAAAAAGTTAGAAAAACACACAATGAGAGCTATACTTGAATGATTTGAAGGAAAAAATTACAGGAAAATTTACCTGCATGCATATATAGAAAGTTAGTTCTTCATATAATTTTTCTAATCATAACAATACCGTAACGGAATCTTGTATATTTGTTTAATAAGAAAATCCTGGATAAGCTACAATTATTTACCCCTCTATAGTTAGGTTTGCAATCACTTTGCACCTGTTTCAAGTCAAATTACATCTCAAGGTGAACCTTTGATCATACGCCACACCCCACCTCACCTTTATCGCTTGAGCAAGCATCAAATGGCCTGGCTCGAGTCAAATTTTAGAAAACATTCAATGCTGATATAGCGTTTCAAAGTCAGACTTGGTTACAAGAAAAAACCTTTGCCATGTAGGACATGAGAGAGAGCAGGGAGCCATTGGATTCTCAGCCGGACTCTCAAAGCAGTACAAACAAAGGGAAAGAATATATGCATAAGGTAGAATGCTAGAAACACCACAGTAAGAAAATTGCGTCAGATAGGGAAATTCTGAGAGGTAGGAGTGAAAGCCACTGAAAAACGGAAGAATACTAAGCTTTAAGGACTACTAATTCTAAGTTTGCTCCTCACATCCATATAACAGTAAAACGGGCAACTGTAATCGCCCAAATTGGCATGCCACTGGAACGAGATAAATGTTAAAGCGGGAAGTAACAGAAATTAGCTAACATGTTGACAAACAATCGAGAATTGAAAAAGAGATCCTGACCATAAAATCGATATTTAAAAATAAAATTCCCACAAATAGTACGGAGAAGGAACTGTCAATTCATGCTTTGGACATTCAATGCCACGTACCCAAATTTGACAAGGTCCCATAAAATCAGGTTCACGGAAAACCCCACATTTGTTATTAAAACCCCACATCAGGGCAATCGAACTTCTCCATAACAAACCTTGGCATGAACCCTGTTCAAGAAAAGATCCGATAGTCGATACCAGATGATTTCCTGAACAGGCTCCATTACAGGAGAATAACAAGCGGAAAAAGAATATAAATAAGATTGAGAAAAACCAACATAACCATTTGATGAGCCCGAGCTGACGTAGACCAATGACTTGACGATGGCGACGGCGAACGACTGATTAAGACAAGCTGGGGGGGCGAACCATTGCAGCCAGTAGAAAAGGTGTAGTACAGTAGCCGATAGCGTCGACTCAGCGGCGAAGGGTGCGAAGGGTATAGATAGTCATTTCAGAAATATGAGATGAGTTAAATTAAAATGTATAAATAGTGTGATTTAAAATAAATTTTATATTATATATAGAGTTTAAAAACCATAATGGATAATTAATTTAGAAGTCAAATAGGTGTTATGATAAAGCAGTGAAATGAAACAGTGGCTATAAGTTTTAACATAAAAATTAGTTGAGGGGTGAGATTTAATTCTAAATATAAAAATTTAATTAATTTTATCTTTCATATTTATATTTGTTTAAACTAATTTATTTTAAATCTAGCAAAAAGGACAAGTCTATCACAACATGGTGTTTCTGTTAGAAGAGGTATACATATTCAGTGTCCGATAATATCTCGAATAAAATTATCTTTAATAGTAAGATATCTATGTGTAAGAAAAAAACTTATAAACTACTATATAATGTAATTTTACATGAAAAATTTTTTAGATGTATTGCGTGATATTTGTTATAATTAATTAATTAACTAATTTTTTAAAATATATTTAAATTAATTAAGCATCTCTCATATTAATGATTAAAAAAAGTGTTGATTTTTATGAATTTATCTAGTATGTTGTTAATAACATGGCAATGAAATTTTTTCATAATATTTGATTATATACAAGTAAAAATGGAATAACAAAATTACCCTTCACAACAAAAAGTTAAAAAGATTAGAAAAGAAAAGAAAAGAGAGACCAATGAAGATGTGGTAAGATGATCAATGAATCCACCGCTAGGCATGGGAATCATCGTAGCTTAGATTTTAAGTGACCAAGCATCCCATGAAGATGTAAAATTTGGGTTTAATAAGAAATCATGATTCCAAAACAAATTGTTAGCCAAACATGAAAATACAACCAACATTATTCTCATGTCTTGTACTCCTCCAATTCTTGATATAGAACTAAATTATTAATTGATCTTGATCCTAAATATAAGACTCATTTATTACATTTGTCAGTTTTTCTTAAATTATTCATATTAATACTCTTTCAACTATAATCAAATAGAAAAGGAAAGGAAGATATTAAGGAAAATAATTATGGTTTTTTAAAAAAAACATTTTATATTTCCTATAATTAACTAACTCACCTTAACTTTCTTAATCTAATTAAACTAGTTAAATAGATCTTATATTAAGAACTAAAAGAATAGTTTCTTTCTAAGGTTATGGAGTGTTTATCATGAAGGTTTCCCATCACACCAATTACTTACCCGTTAATAATATTCTATCTCAAGGCAACTTCATATGGATGAATATGATGATACAAGTAACCCTAACAAATTGTATCAACTATATAGAGCCGTTCTGATTTAATCACGGGTTTTGAATTTGAGGCATGGGAATGTAGCACCCTAGGAGTCAAGGGCACCAACCTTAATAATTCTTATCATGCATCGAATTTGAATTAGTCTGAACCTATTAAGTTTGCACATCCAAAAAAAAATGATGATACAAAAACTAGGGTCAAGATTGTCAAACTTACAATGAAATGATCATACAGTGAATTCGGACACTAAATTTAAAGTACCCTATTTTTATTAATAAATGGTTATAGTTATTAAAAGTACTATATAATTAAATGATTAAAATAGAAAAATGACAATAATTTTATTAACTATATTTTAAATTCTAATAACCAAATTTTTTTAATAAAAAGTAATCATGTTATAAAGTAAAAGATAAAATATTCAAAATACAAAGTCAATAAAAGAGTCATATGGAGAAAACCTCCTTCAAAATAAAAGATATCATGAGAAAGTATCAAATCATAAAATTAAATTCATCATTATTCATAATTTATGATATTCAACGTGAAAATTTCAATAAAGTTCAAAAATTATTTCAATATTAGTTTATGCCTTTTGATTTTTTACCCGGTACATGCATGGCAAATATCTGTTGGATTCATAAAATATCTTTTAGAACCATTTACATTGGAAATGACTACTCCTCCTGTCCTTAATATAATATCCATTTAACTAATTTGATTAAATTAAGGAAATTAGGTAAATTAGTTAATTATAAGAAATATGACACATTTTTTCTAAAATACTATAATTATCTTTTTTAATACCCCCTCTTATTCTTCTACTTGATTATAGTTAAGAGAGTATCCATAGGGATAATTTACAGAAAATTGATAAATATGAGAAATTGGTCTTGTATTTAGAACCAAAATTAACTCAATAATTAAATCCTATATTAAAAACAGGAGGAGTATTACTGATAAAAGCCTCTTTTCGTTGGTTTTAAAAAAAAACAAAGATTAGAGCTTTTTAGTACATACAATCAATATGATTGGTTGAAAAAATAATTATAAATTTTTAAGCTAAAGTGATTTAATGTCTTACATTTAAAATTAAAATAAATCTCTTAACTAGTTACATTTGAAATCAAATTGAAGGAAAGCCAATATTTTGACTGTATACGAGTGAGAGACAACACGAGAGAGGTGAAGCCATGCATATAACGGTAAAAGATATGATTTTTTTCCCTCCAGCATGCTAAGAACACTTGCTATTATATTTGTATGAGAAATATATAACTCGCATAATTTTCAAATAATAATGTCACAAGGAAATAATTCGATTGGATATCATATGTAGTATTTATTATATAAATATATGTGAGGCATATATGATGTATGTCTATTTTGAGAGCAAGAGAGGACAGAAATTATAATCAAAATTATTTTGTTATGTATTCAAGTCACTCACCGTTAATACTACCTCCAGTCTTTAATATAAGACTCTGTTTGACTTTTATTTTGATTTTAAATATAAGACCCTAATCCACTTTGTCTCTCATATTTATGCATTTTTTTCAAGATAGTCCTTCTAATAATTGTAGTCCTAGCCAATATAGTTTATTAGTAAGGATATTTTAGGAAAGACAATACCTATTTATTACAAATAACTAACTTAATTTTTTTCCTTAATCTCTTCAAACTAGTCAACTGGGTCTTATAATTAGGACCGGAGGTAGTAATAAATAAATATTAAAAAAAATTGTATTCACATTTTTTTTAAGTGAAATTCTATCCACACATTTTGAATGTTTTAAATGAAATTTGCTTCTATATTGGCACGTACGTTGATCCTTTTCCTGACTTTTTCATTATCTTAATTAATAGGAATAGGCCTTGTGCAGTAAGATCGAATTATAATATCATATGTGAACTTTTATGCAAGCTTCATAGATAAAAAATTATATTAACCTTAAAATAAATAATATAAAACACATGACATTATATAATTTAGTCAACAGTTATATTGTAATTAAATAATTCTATCAACTTAGGTTGACATATATGCTCTCATTATTTAAACTAGCAGATGAAAGTTCTAAATTTAGCTCTTATATTCATTGATAAAAAAAAATGTAACTCTTATATTAATTATACTCAATAATAAATTTTATGAAAGATAATTTTAAAATTATTAAAAAAATTAATTTTAACTTTTTAATCAAATAGCTTAATCTATGTAAAGTTGGCTGGCAGTGAGAAGCGTGTTGGTTTCTTTTTGGCTATTTGTAAGAATTATAATAAGAAGACAACGCTTGCCTTCTCCACATTTTTTTTAATAATTTATAAATTATAAATAGTAGGACTAAAATTTGATATGAAATGTATAAAAATGTTGATATGATTGAACCTTTGAAACCTCGAAGAAAAAACAAGAGATAATTCACCAGATTTAAAGCCAATCTATAAGCAACCGCCATCTCACCGGGAACACGCAGAAACTGGAGCTTTCGGCGTAGTTTTGGCATCATTTCTTCGGCGTATCGATGGATTCCTTGAAGACGAAGCCAACTCATCTCTTAGTCAGACTTCGCTCGTCTTCTTCATGAGCCACGTGCATTTTTCATTGTTGTCGTTTCTCCAACATGCCGAAAACTTTCCTACGACGTCGTTTCCATCAGCGGCTTCCTGTTTCACTTTCATCACCTGGTTAAAAACCCGCGCAGGAAAGTCCTCAGGTGAGTCCCTGTCCGACGCAAAAAAAGTTCGTTGGACTGTTGGAGCAATGGATGTTGCAATAATCAATTTCGCTAACTTTAAGTTCTTATGGGAATCTTTCAAGTTCTGGCAGAATCATCATTACCCATCTCGTTGATTCTTGTTGGGGTTATGATTTCAGATTATAAAGGTTGTGTTTTTCCCCCGTTCAGTTTCTTCCTTTGAGCTAAGCTTTGAGTTGCCGTGAACTTTCTTGTATGATCGTGTGTACCTTCTGGTCTTCTGTAATGATCTGAATTGTGCTTTGTGTTCGTGGGTTCTTTTGATCGGAGGTTTTGCTATCCGGGTCAAACAAAACTTTGTAATTTGCTGCAGGGGTTCTGTTACTCGTGTTCCTGCATGTTCTGTTATTTTAGCTCTTGTAAATAGTCAATTGCTTCTTGAGATTCCGCGTGAAATTCTATGGGTTTCTGAGCTTTTTAGAGAAGGATGGCTCTTCGGGAAATTCATTCTTGGACGTTGGGAGGCCTTGTGGGAGCCTTTATTGACCTAGTTCTTGCCTATTTCTTGCTCTGTGGATCGGCTGTTGCTTTCTTCGCCTCGAAATTCCTGATGCTTTTCGGACTTTACTTGCCATGTCCTTGTAAGGGAGTTTTGGGGTATAAGAATAGTGATTTCTGTCTGCATAAAGTGCTTTATGACTGGCCGTTAAGAAATATGTGCTCAATTCAGGTGATGGCTGTAAAGAGGTTTCCTTATGATCTGGTGAGGGTTAAGGATCATACATGCACTTTGAATGAGAATATAACTGCACAGAAGAAATCTGCGAATGAGGTTCGCGATTTGGAAGATGAGGCATCTTGCAGTTCATGGTCTAGCCCACATTTGCTTGCCTCAACTGATAGGGAAAACGGATATGATACTAAGGGTAAGAGAACTGTAAATC